CTCACCTAATTGTACTCACCTAATTGTGATTGCAGGGGTCGAGACTCAGCTCCTGGCCCCGCCTCTTCACTGATCGCTACTGGATCCTCTCTCTCCCTGCTTCCTGAGCTTTGTGTCCCTCCATCATGTGTGTGTGTGTGTGTGTGTGTGTGTGTGTGTGTGTGTGTGTGACTCACCTAATTGTACCACCTAATGTGGTTGAGGGTCGAGACTCAGCTCCTGTGCCCCGCCTCTTCATGATTGCTAGGATCCTTTCTCTGCTTCCGAGCTTTGTGTCGCCTCCACTGTGTGTGTGTGTGTGTGTGTGTGTGTGTTGTGTGTGTGTGTGGTGTGTGTGTGTGTGTGTGTGTGTGTGTGTGTGTGTGTGTGTGTGTACTCACCTAGTTGAGGTTGCAGGGGTCGAGTCCAAGCTCCTGGCCCCGTGTGTGTGTGTGTGTGTGTGTGTGTGTGTGTGTGTGTGTGTGTGTGTGTGTGTGTGTGTGTGTGTACTCACCTAGTTGAGGTTGCAGGGGTCGAGTCCGAGCTCCTGGCCCCGCCTCTTCACTGATCGCTACTAGGTCACTCTCCCTGAACCATGAGCTTTATCATACCTCTGCTTAAAGCTATGTATGGATCCTGCCTTCACTACATCGCGCGTGTGTGTGTGTGTGTGTGTGTATGTGTACTCACCTAATTGTACTCACCTAATTGTGGTTGCAGGGGTCGAGACTCAGCTCCCGGCCCCGCCTCTTCACTGATCGCTACTGGGTCCTCTTTCTCTCTGCTTCCTGAGCTTTGTCATACCTCTTCTTAAAACTATGTATGGTTCCTGCCTCCACTACTTCACTTGCTAGGCTATTCCACTTGCTGACAACTCTATGACTGAAGAAATACTCCCTAATGTCCCTGTGACTCGTCTGAGTCTTCAGCTTCCAGTTGTGACCCCTTGTCCCTGTGTCCCCTCTCTGGAACATCCTATCTCTGTCCACCTTGTCTATTCCCCGCAGTATCTTGCATGTCGTTATCATGTCTCTCCTGACCCTTCTGTCCTCCAGTGTCGTCAGTCCGATTTCCCTTAACCTTTCTTCGTACGACATTCCCTTGAGCTCTGGGACTAGCCTTGTTGCAAACCTTTGTACTTTCTCTAACTTCTTGACGTGCTTCACCAGGTGTGGGTTCCAGACTAGTGCTGCATACTCCAGTATGGGCCTAACATACACAGTGTACAGTGTCTTGAATGATTCCTTATTAAGGTATCGGAACGCTATTCTCAGGTTTGCCAGGCGCCCGTATGCTGCAGCAGTTATTTGGTTGATGTGTGCCTCCGGTGATGTGCTCGGTGTTATGATCACCCCAAGGTCTTTCTCCCTGAGTGAGGTCTGTAGTCTTTCTCCACCTAGCCTATACTCAGTCTGCGGTCTTCTTTGCCCCTCCCCAATCTTCATGACTTTGCATTTGGCTGGATTGAATTCGAGAAGCCAGTTACTGGACCACATGTCCAGCCTGTCCAGGTCTCTTTGCAGTCCTGCCTCATCCTCGTCCGATTTAATTCTTCTCATCAACTTCACATCATCTGCGAACAGGGACACTTCAGAGTCTATTCCTTCCATCATGTCGTTCACATATATCAAAAATAGCACTGGTCCTAGAACTGACCCCTGTGGGACCCCGCTCATAACAGGCGCCTACTGTGATGCCTCTTCACGTACCATGACACGTTGCTGCCTCCCTGTCAGGTATTCCCTTATACATTGCAGTGCCCTCCCTTTTACATGCGCCTGATCCTCCAGCTTCTGCACTAATCTCTTGTGGGGAACTGTGTCAAAGGCCTTCCTGCAGTCTAGGAGAATGCAATCTACCCACCCCTCTCTCTCGTGTCTTACTTCTGTTACCTTGTCATAAAACTCCAGGAGGTTTGTGATACAGGATTTGCCTTCCATGAACCCATGCTGGTTTTCATTTATAATCTTGTTCCTTTCCAGGTGTTCGACCACTCTCCTCCTGATAATCTTCTCCATGACTTTGCACACAATACATGTCAGAGACACAGGTCTGTAGTTTAGTGCCTCGTTTCTGTTTCCTTTCTTAAATATGGGGACTACATTAGCTGTCTTCCATTTCTCAGGTAGTTGCCCAGTTTCAAGGGATGTGTTGAAGATTGTGGTTAGAGGCACGCACAGCATCTCTGCTCCTTCTCTAAGGACCCATGGGGAGATGTTGTCCGGTCCCATCGCCTTTGAGGTGTCAAGGCTCCTCCTCAGTTGTTCGTATGTCATCCAACACTTGTTGGTATATTCCCTGTTGGTGTTCCCCTCTGCTGTCTTCCCAGAGCCCTTTCTACCTCTACTGTAAATACTTGAATCTCGTGGTGAGCTCCTCACATACCTCTTGATCATTTTTTGTGAGTTCCCCACCTTCTTTCCTCAGCCTGATCACCTGGTCTTTGACTGTTGTCTTCCTCCTAATGTGGCTATATAGCAGTTTCAGGTCAGACTTGACTTTCGATGCTATGTTATTTTCGTACTGTCGCTGGGCCTCCCTCCTAATCTGTGCATACTCATTTCTGGCTGTTTGACTAATCTTATTTTCCTGGGTTCTTTGCCTTCTATACTTTTTCCATTCTCTAGTGCACTTAGTTTTTGCTTCCCTACACCTTTGGGTAAACCAGGGGCTCATTCTGGTCTTCCCATTATTTCTATTGCCACTGGGAACAAACCTTTCCTCTGCCTCCTTGCATTTTGTTGTTACATATTCCATCATTTTGTTTACTAACTTTCCTACCAATTCTCTGTCCCACTGAACCTCCTGCAGGAAGTTCCTCATACCTGTGTAGCCCCCCTTTCATAGTTTAGCTTTTCCCATTCAACTCCTGTTACCCTCTCCACTTGTAGCTCTACTATGTATTCAAAGCACAGAACCACGTGATCACTAGCTCCAAGGGGTCTCTCATATGTGATGTCCTCAATGTCTGAACTGCTCACGGTGAACATGAGGTCCAGTCTTGCTGGTTCAGCCTCCCCTCCCTCTCTGGTAGTGTCCTTAACATGTTGATGCATGAGGTTTTCCAGTACCACATCCATCATCTTGGCTCTCCATGTTTTGGGACCCCCATGTGGCTCCAGGTTTTCCCAGTTGATCTGCCTGTGGTTGAAATTGCCCATAGCCAGTAACTTTGCTTTACTCGAGTGAGCTCTTCTTGCCACCTCAGCCAGTGTGTCCACCATTGCTCTGTTGCTCTCTTCATATTCCTCTCTTGGCCTCCTGCAGTTCTGTGGTGGATTAAACATCACTGCAATGACTACCTTATGTTCCCCAGACTGAAGTGTACCTACTATGTAATCCCTTTCTCCAATCTTGTCCATGCCTTCCATTTCCTTAAATCTCCATCGTTTTTTTATGAGCAGTGCAACCCCTCCTCCTTCTCTGCTCCTTCTATCGTTCCTCAAGATCTGATATCCTGGTGGGAAGATTGCATCTGCTATTGTCTCAGTGAGTTTTGCTTCTGTGACTGCTATGATGTCTGGAGACTTCTCATTGATTCTTTCATGCCACTCCTCATATTTACTCGTTATTCCATCCACGTTCGTGTACCAAACCTTCAACTTCTTTCCCAAAACTATGGTCCTGGGAGAATATTGGGGTTGGGGGAGCAGGAGCCCTGGTGGGGGCCTACAGGGGGTTGTGGTGGGGGTGGGGGCTGAGTTCCTGTAGGGGGTTGCTGTGGGGGTAGGGTTTGTGGTGTGAGGGGTGGAGACAGAGGGATCAGTGTGTGAGTATCAGTTTAGATTGTTCAGTTGCCTTGGGACTGTCACAGTTGGAGTCCTTCTGAGGGTGTTTCTGGAGGGTGTGTTTGCCCTTCCACCTGTGTCTGGGGTTCTTCTTCTCATCTTTGTCATTTCCTCTCGTTCCTCCTTTCGTGTTTGTACTCTTTCAGTATCATCCTTTCCTCTTGTGTTCTGTTTTGATTGAGGTACACACTCTAGTACTTCAGTTTGTCTCTCAGTCGTGCTTTCTCCTGCAGGACCGTGGTCTGAGTTGATTCTGCCTTGAAAATTACTTTGAGAGGCCGTTTCCGTCCCCTTGCAAACCACCCAATTCTCCGGGGGTGCAAGGGGAGAGAGGGAAAGGAGAGAGGTGTGTGTGTTGTGTTGTGGTGTAGTGCTCCTGTGCTCCTTTGATGCTCCTTCAGTGCTCCTTCAGTAATGTAGATGAATGGTTCCTTCAGTGTTCTTTTAGTGTTCATTCAATATTCTTCCTTTAGTGCTTATTCAGTGTTCTTCCTTTAGTGCTCCATCAGTGTTCCTTTAGTGCTCCTTCAGTGTTCCTTTAGTGCTCCCTCAATGTTCCTCTTTAAGTGCTCCTTCCATATTCCTCTTTTAGTGCTCATTCAGTGTTCCTTTACTGCTCCTTCAGTGTTCCTTTAATACTCCTTCAGTGTTCTTTAGTGCTCCTCAAGTGTTCATTTATGAAACAAAATGAACTCCTCCAATCTCCTCTGCCTATCTTTTCCACCCTCCACCTCCACCAGCATCTTCCATTAGCCCAAGTTGTCTGATCTCTGAGGTAAATTACACTTTATAACACCAGTTTATTTCTTTATATTCTCTTTTATTATATTTTTATACAATATTTCATATTTATAAATACATTTTTCTTATTTAAAAACTTGTAACAAAAAAATTGGGGTGGTTTTTTGGGGGCTGGAACAGATTAATGGCATTTCAATTAATTTCAACAAGGAAAACTGATTTGATGTACGAGCAAACTGAGCTATGGCCTCTGTCATGGAACGAATTAAACTCGTAAGTCAAGGTACCACTGTATATACAGTACTTTGATCTTTACTGATAGGCTATTAATCAACTACATAAAAGGGAATAAGCATTTGCTGAGTAAAATTCCAAATAACAAAAGAGCAAGCCAGATACAAATATAGGTAAAGAGTATACTAACCTTCACTGTACTGACATTTGTTCCAACAGCTGTTACAACACCTGCACACTCTAATCCAAGAGTACAAGGTGGCTGTGTCTCAGGATTTAAGCCTTGCCGGACATATATGTCATAGAAGTTTAGTCCACAAGCCTTAACATTAACAGTAGCTTGATTTTCAGTAGGAGCAGGAGGTACAGGTCCATCTTCAACCTAAAAAGAATGAGAGTACAAAACATACAGTAAGATCTCTATTATATTAAATATTGCTGGTATCTTATTCAAGTCTGTGAGTGGTATTTATCCTTCTATATTTCTTCATATGACTATCAGTACATAAAATTCCACATCAAGAATAAAAAATAGATTTTTAAATAAATCACTGCCGGTAACTAAAAAAATACAGTAGAGTATTAATAGCGTATGATATTGTCTGGTGACAGCAGGACTGAGACTGCCAGATACAGATAAACTCGTGATTATGGATTAACCTTAAAGTGCAGTGTAGTTTGTCTGAACGGGCTTGATAATGTAGTACATAAAGTACAGTAATGTTACTAGGTATGTTGTGACCCAAGAGGAGGACTGAACTCTGAAGAACTGCTTGTTTTTTATATTTTTAAAAGAAAAGCATCTCCTGTACATATAGAGCAAGAAACTTCTGAGTAAATAGTTTTTTAACCTAGATAATGAAACGAATCAAAATGCTTATATCTTTCAAATCCTCATCCTCTTCTTACCTATACTTGCTCTCGTAGATTTAATAAGGAATTCATGTCTGCTAATAGCAGCTAAAGAGGTGAGTAACATAATATAATGGGCAGTGGTGTGCACAGTTCCACTAATCCGCTAATTAGCGGAACTAAATTTTTGTTTAGCGGATTAGCATTTCTGCTAACTTCGAAAACCATTAGCAGACCAATTAGCTTCCGCTAACTTTGAGTCTGCTAAAAAAAAATTCATACGTTGTTGGTAGTCGGTAAGCAATGCCTTTTCAACAGCGCACGTGTTCATTCCTGTCTGTTGTGGGAATTTCTCCAACAGTCGGTCAGGCACACTATTGGCTGACTACGTGTAAATGTGACTTGTCAGCACAACAGCAGCTGCATCTGTGCAGCATTGTTATAGTCTTACAGTGTCAGTGAACACTGGGGTGCATTGTTACTTATCGTTATGAACAGGGGAGACATTTTTGTTGTGCCTGAGGGTGTTGTTGTGGAGTCTGCAGCAGCTGTGGTTGAAGCAGAGGCTGCTCATGCTGAGGGCCAGGAGTTGCAGAACCCATGGCCCCATCTGGATGACTATTTTGTCCTCAAGTCAAGGGATACGAAGAACGTCAATATTTTGTACTTCTGTACGTCATGTGCCAGCCCAAGGAGACCATCATCAAGGGACAGGTAGCGAGCCTCTACAACTTGAAGTCACATGTTAAGAGAAAACACCCAGAGCATGCCATCAAGTTTGAGGAGAGCATCAAGGCTGGATCTTCCCGTGGAAAACACAGGCAATCTTCTTGTGGCAGCGCCACTAGCAGGAGCAGCAGCCAGTTGTCACAGCCACCTGCAAAGAGAGCACACCAGACCACCATTGGCAAACCATTTGTTGCTGCTGGACACAAATATTGTGGACCTATTCATCTGCAACATGCTACCACTGCATGTAGTGGAATCCCACCTTTGTCAGCCTGATCAAGACGCTGAACCCCAGCAAGACATGGATGTCCCGCCTCACCCTGGACAGGAGGACTTTGGTCAGCCATAAACAGCTGGAGGAATATCTTATAAGTATAAGGCATTTATGAGTTATAAGCGCTTATTAAACTACTACATGGGTATTGCAAGTTATGGCAGTTTAGAGGTACAGTACCTTTCCCAGTTGCCCTCAAGGTTTCAACTTTAAGCACGATTTTCAACTACTTGTTTGTAGTTTAATGGGTTCAAAATCTAAATTAAGTTAAATGCAAACATAAACAGAAACAGAATAAAATGAACAAATACAATGAGTAACTTGAACCAATGAAGAAAATAGTCAAATAAGCTAACTCAATCAGTTCGGGTGCTATGGAGCTTCAGTACAGCGACAAGTGTGTCCTTATCGGTCACTCGCGTTACATCATAAAATCAAACAATTGCTATTTTCACACTAGCGGCACTTGATCATCATATGACCTTGGCATTCTATATCTTATTAGGAAGCTCTCCAGGTCTGTTCTAAAAGTCTTAAAAGTATAAGTAAAAGACCAAAAAACTAAACCAAATCTGAATTCATGTGAAAAAGTTAGCGTTTAGCATTAGCTTCTGCTAATTTTTTCGACCATTTAGCAGTTCATTGTAAATAATTTTTTAGTTAGCGGATTAGCGGTTAGCGAAGCTAACTTTTTGGTTAGCTGTGCCCACCACTGATAATGGGTCTGAATTTGAAAAAACAATAAAGGTATTTTTTTCTATGACAGAGTGGGTTTCATATTCCAACAAAACACAGGTTGTTCTTTAGTAATACAACACAGACATAAACAGTTCTACAATAATTTTTTCCTATTCTCTAACAGTTGTTTACTCTGCCCCTGAACTATGTCAAGCCATCATATGACATAATACTGTAATGATAAACAATCCCAGGTCATGCCAATCAAGGTTGCATGATCCCAGACAGTCCTGCAGCACTCAAGTGATTGCCACAAGAACTTACGGTATATACCAAGGGAAGTGGAATCATGGAACCCACTGTGGTTTTAAACTCTTTTCCTACTTCAAAAGTTTACACTAGTCTACAACACATTCTGCAGAATCCTACAATATTAACATACATACATCCCAGCCAGGCCCATACCACAACTAGCAACAAAATAAACCACACAAAGGGTTGGAGGGGCACACAAGTTTACAATTCATATTTCTTATTGTCATGTACCATACTATACTTTTAATCTACTTTTATATGTTTTATAATGTATTAATTTTAAATTAGGTTTTAACCAGGGGCTTTCCTTGTATGCTACTAAATGTCATCCAATTATGTAAAAACAATGTATCATGTGAATTATTATTCCTGAATGTACTGTATAACATATGGGCAACTCTTTTGGACGTTAAATTTGAGGAAAGGCAAGGAACCCAGGTTACAAACCCTGTAACTACCAAGATCTTGTCTAGCACAACGTATGATGAAAAAAAACTCACACTTGACAGGGGGTTTCTGATTCCCCAGCTCTATTAGTGATGGGTATTTAGGTATTGAGGCCCTACAAATAGTCAATACATTCTTAGTAACAAACATAAGATCTAGCTTTAAAAACCTGTATGTACAGTACTATGTCACGGTTGATATATGTGAACTAACTCGGCTGTAGCAGATTCAATGAGAACTCAAATTTGCTTATCCTCAATTTGAGTCTCCACATACCCTTCAAAAGTTACATAATGCATGTTCATTACAATTTTTTCAACTCACTGACAGCAGTTGGGACAAAAGTTGTACTGACTCAGCTTTGGTGGCAGGAAGAGTTCTCTGTAAAAGTTTACAGTAGGGTTGCTACTGGAAGCAGCTGTTTACATTACAAGTCAGGTATGCTGTAGGTTGGAGCTCATTATTGAAGCTGCCATGAGTGCTAAGTAGAGGGCCAGCATTATGCTTACCAAGGGTTCGAGTCTCTGCCCTCCCTATTGAAAAAGTTAAGTTTGTTTATTATGAATTTTATAACCTTTAACCTTATGTCTTATATTATAAAGAACTGTATATATAATACACTATGTAAAAACAATAACTCACAGTCTCATGAGAACTGTACTGCACTGTATATCCAAACACCCTCTAGAAATTGGAGAAAGGGTGGCAAAACCTTTTCAAAATCACTATAGATCCTTTATCAGTCCAGATTTGTAAATATTATTATAATCAAAAAGAAGCGCTAAGCCACAAGGGCTATATAGCGCTGCAGGGTAGGGAAGGAAGCGAGGGTATTGGATGGCAGAAGGGAGGAGGGATGATCAGTAGGTTACAGAAAACAGCGGGGCAGGGGATAGTACGGGGGTAGAGGGTAGCAAGAGATTGAAGTAGAAAGGGCTGAAGGTATCAGAATTTGTGAAGTAAGTCAGTTGTTGTCAAAAAGTCAATGAGAGAGTCCGGATGAAAGGTGGGTCCATCAGCGAGAAGGGAAGGTAAAGAGAGAGCAGTGGAGCGAAGACGACGATGGAGGTAAATTCTGCGTGCTCGTTGATAAAGTGGGCAGTCCAACAGAATGTGGCTGACTGATAATGGAGCTTGGCAATTCTCACACAGAGGAGCAGGGCGCCTCTCCATGAGATATCCATGAGTAAGACGAGTATGGCCAATGCAAAGACGGGAGAGAGTAGTCTCCCAACCTCGACACTGGTGATAAGAAGACGGCCAGTAACCTATACTCGGTATAATAGATTGAAGTTTGCTGCCAAGCATAGTAGACCAACGTTGTTGCCAACGGGTGTGAAGGTGGGAAGATATTGCAGCAAAATAGTCCGTAAATGGAATACCTCTATATGAAACTGGTAGGTCATGTACTGCTGACCGCGCAGCAGTGTCTGCCTGTTTATTGCCCTGTACGTCAACATGACCAGGGACCCAACAAAAAACAATATCTTTATGCTTGCTAAAGATGCGGCGTAGCCAAAGTTGGATACGGAGGACTAAGGGGTGAGGTGTATCAAATTTCTGAATAGCCTGTAAAGCACTAAGGGAGTCTGAGACAACCACAAATGATGACACAGGCATAGATGCAATACGGATAAGTGCTGCAAGGATGGCATACAATTCAGCAGTAAAAATACTAGCCGAAGATAGTAAATGCCCACGTACGACGCTGTCCGGAAACACTGCTGCGAATCCTACGCCGTCAGAAGACTTAGAGCCATCTGTGTACACAGCAATGGCATGAGAATGAGAGTGGAAGTGGTCAAGAAAAAGAGAGCGGGAAGCGACCGTAGACAGTTGGGTTTTCGAGCAAGGGAGAGAGAATGAACTGACTTGAACAGCTGGAACTTCCCAGGGGGGTAGGGAAAAGTGAGATGCTACATGAACATAGAAAGGTGGTAATTGAAGAGAAGACAAGAGTGAATGAAGGCGAAGAGAGAAGGGATGGAGTAAACAGGGGCGGCAAACAAATAAAGAATGCCTACTAATATCAGTGACCATTCTATAAATGGAAGGGTTGCGGAGATCATGAGAGCGTACATAGTAGC